CTTGTTAACTAAATATTTAATTTGTAAGTTAAATATTTAGTTTATAAACTATGACATTTATAGATGTATGAATCATATGGTGAAAAACTGACTTTGAAAAATAAATCTGTTCTTCTTTTCTTATAAAAAGTTAAATAAAACAAAAATATTGGTGGTAATTTTTGACTGTAACTTTACAAACGGCACTCCATACAATGGAGAGAAGTTGTCAGGAACGTGTTGCTACTATTGGGAAAGTTGTAATTATTCTGTCATATCAATGATTATTGGCGATGTTACGCTGTCTGGAGATGTAGAAAAGAAATGCAACTCTCTCCACATTACGGGAATATCCGGGAAGATACCAACAGCGGGAGGAATGGCCAGCTGCAGCGGCCGCTACAATTACTGGACAGTGGGAACAGATGATTGAGGTAAATGTTCGCTTCAGCAAATGCGTTTCCATCTCCTCTTTTTACGCATCAACTCTTTTTTTTTGGAAAACACAAAAACCACCTCAAGTGTTAAAACCTTTTTTGCAAATTTTGCCATTTACGTCCACCTTTTCTAATTCGTTACTTCAAAATGCACATAAAAACTGGATGATGGAAACATGGCTACTGAATGCAGAGCAGAAGAAAACTTTACAGTGTTCATCGTGTCTAAAACATCAGCCCGTCTGTTAGCAAAATATTTTTTAAACCACTGAAGGGATCTGAATGAAACTCTTACTCTAATCTGCATCAGGACATCAACAACTGAATAACTTTTGGGTTCAGCTCGATTCAAGATGGCTGCTACAGCAAACTAATGTATATAAACAACATGTACTTTTCATGACAGATTTTTGTATCAGTTAAGCTGCATTGTGGCACATTGTACATATATTTTTAACTGTAAGCACAAAGTAAATGTGTGTTTTTATTCAGGAAAATTATAAATTGTAATTAGAATGTGATCTATTCTTGAAACTAGGCCAGTGGTCTTATTGTGGTGGGAGATACTAATGTAAAATAAGACAATAGTGTGATCACAATGTGCATGATTTCTTTTTTTCCTGAAAACAAACAAACCTCCATCTGCGTCAGTGACGTCAGCCTCGGTCTGTTCAAGTACAGCTGCTCCTCCAGGGCCTCGGAGGGGAAGAAGCGTCCACCTGGCAGCGCAGCAGAGAAGCTCACGTTCAGGATGCTTCCCGGCGCGGCGTCCAGGTCCGGCTGGATGTTGAAGATGAACACGTCCTCAACCGGCACCGACAGCACCGCAGACACGCCCTCCAGGAAGTTACTCAGCAGAGGGGACAGGAAGTGCTCCTGGGACATGTTCTGAAGGCGGACGGTGACGCTGCTGCCCAGCATGTCCTCGGTGATGATGAGGACGCGGAGAACACACTGGGCCGAGATGCTGTGGACGCCATCTGAAACGTGAGAAGAGAAAGAAAAACTGAGGAGACGTGCGCTTTTGAGGGAGTGAAGAAGAAAATGAAAACTTTAAAGTGAATCAATGAGAAGATGGGAAATGAGTTAAAAAACATGGAGTCTAACTAAATCAACAGAGAAAAGTGTTCATTTAGGACACGCTTTGCACACATCAGAGACAAAACATGACATTTTTACAATTAATCCTGCTTTTAGATAAATAACAATCACCATAAAACATCTGTCAATAAGGTGAATAAACAGTTACTTTACAACTCTGTGCAGTAGATAAGTACAAATTACTGTAGAAATTTTGGCTATCTGTACTTTACTTGAGTAATTATTTTTCAGCGTACTTTTTACTTCTACTTCGTACATTTTCACACAATTATCTGTACTTTCTACTCACTATATTTTTAAAAAATTTTAGAAGTAGAAAGTAGTACTTCCTATTACATTACGACTTGTTGTTGTTAAAAAAAACTACTACCCTGACAAACTGTGCCTCCTGGATAGAGTGAATTTAATTGCAGTTGGATGAGAAGTATAAATTTAAACCATTCTGATACTGTATTAGTTTGTGCACATTCCAAATCCTATTTTTTAACATTAACATTTTTATATAACAGTCATTTTGGCCTGTAGAAAATTTTTTGAGGGTGTCACCTCCCAGTAAATGTCATTTTGGAAAATTTAGCCACTCATTTTTACTCAATACTTTTACTTTTAATACTTAAGTACATTTTACAGCGGGTAAAATAAGTATTAAACATGTCACCATTTTTCTCAGTAAATATATTACTAGAGGTGCTAATGACATGAAAATTTCACCAGATGTCGGTAACAACCCAAGTGATCCATACATACAAAGAAATCAAACCATAAATGTCCAGAAATGAAGTTATTTGTAATAATGTGGAATGGCACAGGGAAAAAGTATTGAACACATGAAGAAAGGGAGGTGTAAAAAGGCATGGAAAGCCAAGACACCAGCTGAACTCTCTCAGTAATTAGAAAGCAAGCCTGCCCCTTGTCAGTGCAAATTAATATCAACTGGTTCAGTCCCAAATGATGACCAGGTATCACACAAGAACCATCTGATGATGGGTAAAAGTAAAGAGCTCTCTCAAGACCTTCACAACCTTATTGTTGCAAATTATAATGATGGCATCGGTTACAGAAGAATGTCTAAACTTCTGAAGGTTCCAGTGAGCACTGTTGGGGCCATAATTCAGAAGTGGAAAGAACATTATTTCACCATAAACCGACCACGACCAGGTGCTCCTCGCAAGATTTCTGACAGAGGAGTGAAAATAATTATCAGAAGAGTTGTCTAAGAGCCAAGGACCACTTGTGGAGAGCTTCAGAAAGACCTGGAATTAGCAGGTAAGATTGTTTCAAAGAAAACAATAAGTAATGCACTGAACCACCATGGCCTGTATGCACGCTCACCACGCAAGACTCCACTGCTGAAGAAACAGCATGTTGAAGCTCCTTTAAAGTTTGCTGCACAACATTTAAACAAGCCTGTGTAATACTGGGAGAATATAGTCTGGTCAGATGAGACCAACATTGAACTGTTTGGATGCCAGAATACACATCATGTTTGGAGGTCAAATGTCACTGCACATCAGCCCAAAAACACCATACCAACAGTGAAGTTTGGAGGTGGGAACATCATGGTGTGGGGCTGTTTTTCAGCATATGGTACTGGCAAACTTCAAATAATTGAAGGAAGGATGAGTGGAAAATGTCCTGATGCATCTCAGTAATCCAGGTAAAAAATCAAAGGAAAAAAATTGTATAGGTCTTCTGGACGGGTTCTTCTTTAATGAAACGTTTCGTCTCTCTTCCAAGAGACTTCTTCAGTCTGAGAGTTTCAGGCAAAATTCTGCCTGAAACTCTCAGACTCTCAGATTTCTGGACATTTATGGTTTGATTTCTTTGTATGTATGGATCACTTGGGTTGTTACCAACATCTGGTGAAAATTTCATGTCATTAGCACCTCTAGTAATATATTTACTGAGAAAAATGTTGATGTGTTCAATACTTATTTTACCCGCTGTATGTCAGAAATTTACTTTTGATACTTAAGTACAAATTATATTAGATACTTTAAGACTTACTCAAGTAATATTCTTAGATGAGACTTGAACTTTTAAGTAATTTTATGGTAAGATACTCGTACTTTTACCCAAGTATCACTTTGAGGTACTTTATACAACACTGCCACTGCAGCAGGCAAAGTCAAAATGTCGCAAACCGCTGCCTTCTAAAGATTTAACCATAAATACTGTTTTCCAAATGAACTTTCAAAGTGTCAGCTACTTGAATTGGTTTAGTTTGAATTTGTTCAGTATAAATTTATCACAAGTTATTTGTATATTTGACTCCAAAAATCTAAACTAAAAAGGACGACCTTTTAAATGTCACAGATTCGTTTCAGTTTTCCCCTCACAGAAAAAGTTCCCTTCAAATGTAGAATGTCCTTTAGAATAATCTCATGATGAAATGCTTCTGCCCTGAGTGTCATCTCTTCCAGGGTGATGTTACTTCCATCTATAGAGCCCAAAGTGCTGTCTTCTCTCTGAAGATGTATGAAAATTATGGAAATCTCTGAGCTTTGCAGTCAAGCTATTTCCATTCAACTGAACACTTATGGCTTTAGATGTATGTATGTATTAGACAGCAAGTCAGGGATTTTTTTTAACTGGCATTGCTTCACTCCAATAGGTTATCCTGAACATTTAGGTTTAATTCCAAGGAACCCTAAAACTGTGGGAATAAATATGTTTTTTCTGAACCATCTAAAACAGTTTATTTTCCACAACTCTAAAGAAAACGTATCAAAGGATAAAAAAAAGCTGTTACAAAAAATGAATATGAATTTTTTTATGTAAAACATCCAAATTTAGCTTTTTAAATAATTCCTGTAAGGCATATTTTTAAAGCTTCGCCTAAAAGTCACGTAAAAACAGTCATCCTTCTCTTTTAGTTTCACACATACAGTTCTAAAATTATTTCATTTCTGATCAACAGATCGACTTGAAGTAAAGAATTTCTGTATTTTGTAAAACCATTAAGAGTGGTAAGCTAACTGAACAAATACAAAGACGTACCATCAATAGGTTATTTTTTAAAATTACACATAGATGTGATGTTGAAGTCAAACAAAAGACGAGAGAGAGAGAGAGAGAGAGAGAGAGAGAGAGAGAGAGAGAGAAAACATGGGCCTGTAAATAAAAAACATGGCAGGAAGAACAAGGACAGAAAGGAAGAGGACAGCAGTGAATGGAGGGTGAGGGGTGACGGAGACTGACACAGAGAGCATCAGGAGAACAGGGAGTCAGTGGAGGGTGAAGGACAGCAAAAAGGGCTTTATTAAAACTGGAAAAGGAAAAAGGTAAAAAGACACAATGAAGAAGAAAAAGGAAAGAGTCTGACTGAAAAGGACTGCAAAAGAAATCATCAAATCTTTGTCTTTGTAGTTGATTAAAAACATGTTTTTGATGTTGGCTTTGTTTCCTTCTGTAAAGATTAAAACGACAAATCTGAAAATTGGTGTGATCATGGATTTTAAACAGAAATATCAATGCAGGTGAAGAATGACAAATATTTACTGTCGTTTTACTTCTACTTGACAAATTAAAAAGAAATACAAAAACCTAACGAAACACGACTCTACAAGAAAGACATGTTTAGTGCATTTGAAAGAAAAAACACACTAAACAAACAGAGGAGGAAATAAAACAGAGAATCAGATAAAATACAGCAGTTGGGAAATGAGGAGGGTGGGGGGTTGGGTTTGGTGGCAGCTGGTTTGATTACCGGATTATGAAGAGCCTCACTCCCCACTGACCTCTGCCACACACACACACACACACACACACACACACACACACACACACACACACACACACACGTATATTTCTTCTTCCTCTGTTAATTTATTGTAAATGCTATGTGTGTATGTGGGGTGGGGGTTGTGTGTGTGTGATTGATTACCAGTTCTTTTCTAAAAGACCTGAAAGCGTCTGTTTTTATTATATTGTAAGAAGAATGTGTTCAGTAATTGGAAGTGGGAATAAGTTTGCAGAAAACCAAGTCTTCTAAAAATCTTTATTAAAACCCCACTCACTCCAGCCTGTCTCCCAGCCAGGACCTGTGAGCTTGAGGCCTTGGGTCTTATCAGAATCACAACAATAACAACCCTCTCAGCAGCAGCATCTATTGTAGGCCACGATAAAAGAGAAGATCCCTTCTTTTCTAAAGTTTTACATGTACATAAACCCAAACTTACTGGTCACACCCCTGGGTGTGGTACCTTTAACATCAGATATTGGAGCCTTAAGCAAGCTTTGTTATTGTTACAGGGTGGGAGACATTGATAGTACTGACTCTTTCCCTGTTTAAAGTAAATGGCTATAATTGATCACAAAGTAAAATATAATCCCTTAAATACAAAATGTCCTTCAACATATTCTTATATCAGTAAGCATGAAACTCTGCGGAGCCTGAGAGAGGACATGGGGGATTTTTTTTTTGCGTTACCTCGCTTTACCTTTGCATTCCCACACAAAAGTTTAATGTTTTGTATGAACTGAATTAAATCAGACTTTTATTTTGAAATATCCTTTTACGAAAACAGGATGTGTCACCACGAGTTTGGGAAACTGACAGTGATATTTTGTGGCTAACAAAGTTAAAATATCTGCACATTAAAAATCTCAACGCGTGGCCGTGATACATTCAGTTTGGTGCTGAATCAAAGTAGTAGGTTACTGCCTGTATAATAGTGACCATGTAAGTTAATAAATGGGCAGGCACAACAATAATAAACAGCTTTAGTATTGCGAGGAAACACACAAGAAAAAGAAATCCCCGTGCCCCTTCCCCGGCTTTGTAAAACCCACTTGTGAAATGTACTGTGATGTTTCTGGATCTGAATTTAGACTTTTGTAAATTAGAATATTTTTGTTGTGAATTAAATTGGTTATA